GCTAGGAGGGCAGCAGAAGTAGAAGGGACGCTTCACCATGGAAAATGAAGTCAAGAAAGGGAAAAAGGTAGGTGGGAGGCTGGGAGGGATGCAGGGCAGAGAAATGGCCCTGGAGCTGGGGAAAACAGGGAGCAGGGACCAATCAAATTAGGCTTTGTATACAGCCAACAGCCAACCACAATACTGCCCCATTGTACAGTACAGCCTCCTCGCCCTGGAGCAGTCAGACATTTGGGTTCCAAACTCCCTAGTCTGTCCTCCCTGTTCTCAGCAGCCTCTGCCGTCCCTGGAATATAGACAGACAGACACCCAACCAGACAGATTCTTCTGGGAGTTACTCCCCACCTCCTTCCCTGGTATCCTGGGGGATCCCTCCTGTAGCTTCTTAGTCCAAGGACCATTAATAGGCCCATTCCCCTGCTCCCTGCCTCCCAGGACGGAAAGCCCTCTGCAGAGCAGTTCCGTGCTATAGGCTTCCAATCTGGCTGGAGACACCTACCTGCTCCCCTGCTGGGCTCCAATCTACTCCCCCTGCATCTTTACACAGGGTCCCCTCCTAAGGCTGATGTTCCCAAAGGCTGCCCGCCGAGCAGGAGCAGCCACTCGGAGCAGTGTGAGCCGCCGGCCCCTGCACTCCATGCCCCTCTATCCCCCTGACTACCTCATCGACCCCCAGATTCTGCTGTGTGACTACCTGGAGAAAGAGGTCAAGGTGCGTGCGGAATGAGGAGAAGGGGTGTGCCCATTCTTGGGGTGAGGGGTGTAGGGGAGGGAAAAGTGTTCCTCCACCCTCTTGGTGTCCCTGGCTGGTCTGAATATTAAACTGACAAATACAGATTCACAGGAGAAAAGCATCCACGTTTTATTCAAGTGTTGCATGTCCACAGGAGCCCTCACAAGAGAATGAAGAGCCCCGAGGAGTGACCAGAGCAGGAAGCTTTTATGCCTCTTTGACAAAGAAACAATAACTGTGTGAAGAATTGACAAGGCAGAGGGTTTCGGGCTAGGGCTAGGAAAGGGTGAGGAAGTAACCAGGTTCGTTTATAGAGCCTTCTCGGGCCTAAATCATGTCTGCCTTCCTCCTGGTGCAGAGGGGGCACCTCTCACACAGATTTATCTCCTGCTTTCAGGGGAGGGGAGGTCAGAAAGTTCTCTCAAACTCCTTTGGCTCAAGATATTCTTTTTAAAAACTATATTTTTATCGATTTCAGAGAGGAAGGGAGAGGGAGAGAGAGATATAGAAACATCAATGATGAGAGAAGCCTCCTGCACACCCTACACTGGGGATCAAGCCCAAACATGGGTATGCACCCTGACCAGAAATCAAACTGGGACCTCCTGGTTCATAGGTCAACACTCAACCACTGAGCCATGCCAGCAGGACAAGATATTCATTTTAAAAAATATATTTTATTGATTTTTTTCAGAGAGGAAGGGAGAGAGATAGAGAGTTAGAAACATCGATGAGAGAGAAACATCGATCAGCTTGCCTCCTGCACACCTCCTACTGGGGATGTGCCCGCAACCAAGGTACATGCCCTTGACTGGAATCGAATGTGGGACCTTTCAGTCTGCAGGCCAACGCTCTATCCACTGAGCCAAACCAGTTAGGGCAGGACAAAATATTCTTAATAAGGTGCCATATTTGGGGGTAGCATGTCCTGGACCCATCAAGAGAGATCTTACCTACCTCTCCCCCAACACCTAGCCCTGCACAGCCCTGTCTCACACAAAGGAGACTCAGAGGAAAGAATCTGGGCAGCCGTGTCCATGCCTAGTCCTGTGGACCCTCAGCAAGTGACCTCCCGGTGCTCATTCTCAGTGTTCCCATCTCAACACGGGGCTCGGAACCTCCCCCAGGGGAGAGCCGATGGGAAGGGGCTCTGTGTGCTCAGAAGCCGCACGTTCCTGCGAGATTCCTGTAGAGGCGTTGTTGCTACTCAGTGTCCCGGTCCAAGGAACCCAGTTCAGCAAACCACAGGGGACTGAGACCACTCAAGGGCTTGACCTCTATTTCAGGAACACCAGGATGGAGCAGTGAAGAATCCTCTCACCCAAGGAAGACTGATATGGGGTTAAGAGTGTCAGATTTAGCAAAAACAGTTATATTTGAATTTCCGATAAACAAGTAATACTTTAAAAATATACTTTTTTTTATTAATTTCAGAGAGGAAGGGAGAGGGAGAGAGAGATAGAAACATCAATGATGAGAGAGAATCATTGATTGGCTGCCTCCTGCACATCTGCTACTGGGGATTGAGCCCACAACCTGGGCATGTGCCCTTGACCGGATTGAACCTGGGATCCTTTAGTCCAGTGGTTCTCAACCTTCCTAATGCCGCGACCCTTTAATACAGTTCCTCCTGTTGTGGTGACCCCCAATTTCATTGTTACAAATTGAACATAATTAAAGCATAGTTATTAATCACAAAAACAATATGTAATTATATTTGTGTTTTCTGATGGTCTTAGGCCACCTCTGTGAAAGGGTCATTCGACCCCCAAAGGGGTCGTGACCCACAGGTTGAGAACCGCTGCTTTAGTCCATAAGCCGATGCTTTATCCACTGAGCCAAACTGGCTCGGGTAGTCATACTTTTTTAGGACTAATGTATGTCCCAAATACCGCATGGGACTAAAAAATACTGAAACAACAACAACAACAAGCATTTGTCGTTTATGTGAAATTCAAATTTAACTGGAATCTTGTATTTTATCTGGCAATCCCATATGGAGGGAAAAGCCAACACTTAAAATTTGGGAACTGAAATTTCATACAGAATAAAAAGAAATGGTTTGATTAGTTACATCCACCTAGAAGAATAAAACTAAAAGTAATAATAAAAAAACTTCATTCTTATATTGATGGAATAACATATAAGTTAATGATAGCATTAAGTTATAACAAGAATGAATGAAGAATCAATTTATTGATTTGGGGCATCATTTTTCTCACAAAATGATGTCTGAGTTTGATACAACATTCATTCCTTTCTATTTGATTTCTGCAACAAGATCACAAAGAGGGTGAGTGACTTGCACAGTCAGTTGATCCTGGTGTTTGAGGTGGACAGTTCTTTCAAGCTATTATAGTGACTTTTGATTCCATCATAGCTAAATCACTGTGTTCAGGTAGTGAGAGTGTGGGCTGTGATGTGTGCAGTCCAGTTTTGTCCTTTCTAGTGATATAAATTGGACATGTCATTTACCTGTGCTGTGCCTTAGTTTTCTCGTGCTTAACTTGAGGATGAGTCCTGGCCGGTGTGGCTCTGTTGGTTGGACATTGTCCAGTGCACTGAAAGGTCATCAGTTTGATTCCCGGTCAGGGCACATGCCCAGGACATCAATGTTTCTCTCTCTCTCTCTCCCCCACCCCTTCTTTTCTCTCTAAACCAGCGGTTCTCAAACTGTGGGTCGAGAACTCTTTGGGGGTCGAACGACCCTTTCACAGGGGTCGCCTAAGACCATCGGAAAACACATATATAATTACATATTGTTTTTGTGATTAACCACTATGCTTTAATTATGTTCAATTTGTAACAATGAAAATACATCCTGCATATCAGATATTTACATGACGATTCATAACAGTAGCAAAATTACAGTTATAAAGTAGCAACGAAAATAATTTTATGGTTGGGGGTCACCACAACATGAGGAACTGTACATTAGGAAGGTTGAGAACCACTGCTCTAAACAAACAAACAACAAAAATAATAAAAACAGATTTAAATAAATAAAGTGAGGATGAAATGTGTACAAAGCTCTCAGGACTGTGCTGTGTCTGGCTTCTATGACTGGCTCAATAACAGTTACTATCAGGTTCTTGTTATTAATTCAGGTATTTCTATCTCAGTCTGTCTGCACTGTATCAGTGAGGTCAGGGTCCTCCAAGGCTTCCCAGTCACTTCTTCCTGCCCTTCTCCCACCACTCCCCCCACCCCATCCCTTTTTGCCGTCCAGTTCCTGGGCCACCTCACCTGGGTAACCTCCTCACTGAATCCCTCCAGCCGAGATGAGCTCCTGCAGCTGCTGGACACCGCCAGGGTAAGGCTCTGGAGAGGGGAGAGGCAGGGTCTGTCCCCTTCGCCCTCTCCCACCCAAGGCCCCGGGGGACTCAGGAGATCCGACCCACCACACAGCAGCTGAAGGAGCTGCCGCTGAAAACCACGGCGGAGCAGGACAGCATCCTGAGCCTCTCGGCCCGCTGCCTGCTGCTCACCTGGCGCGACAACGAGGAGCTCATCCTGCGGATCCCCACGCACGAGATCGCCGCCGCCTCCTACCTGCAGGACGACGCGCTGCACTTGCTGGTGCTTAAGACAGGTAAGCGGGCGGGGCCTGCCCTGGCTGTGCTTCCATAGGGCCGGGAGGTGAAGGGGCAGAAAAGTCTCAACTCCTTGTTTTGGGGATGTGTGTGACCTGGGGCATGAGCAGGCCTGAGGCTGGATGACGGGGCGGTAGAAAAGGCCTGACCACCCTATCCTGAGACTAGGGCCATGGCCTTATGCCGGAAGACCCAGCCCAAGGCTGAGATCGAGGAGTGGGCGGCCTGACCCACCAACCTGAGGTCAAGTGGTGAAGGCTGGAGAAGCCAGAATCCTGAGGCC